TGCTGCTGCTGCTGCTGCTGCTGCTGTTGTTGTTGTTGTTGCTGCTGTTCCTCCCGCTACTGCTGTCGGCCCTGGCACTGCGGCTGTTGCTGCTGCTGCTGCCGTTGTTGCTGGAACCGCTGAGGTTGCTTCTGCTGCTGCTGTCGATACTGCTGCCGTCGTTACTTCTGCTGCTGCTGCTGCCGATATTGCTGCTGCTGTTGTTTCTGCCGCTGCTGCTGCTGCTGCTGCGATGTCGCTAGTGCGGCTGACTGGCTGGGCTTGTTGCTGTGCTTCCTTCGAAAGCGCATGAAATGGCTGCGCAGTAAGCCCTAGACCCTAAACCCTAAACCCTAAACCCTAGACTCTAAACCCTAAACCCTGAGCCCGAAGCTTGGGTCACCGGAGAGAGCTGCAGCACGCAGTCAGCCCACATGCTGCTCCTTCTACTGTTTGCTTCTTCTCAATTTAAAAAATAAAAATTAATTATAAATTTATTTAAAAGATAAAAGCGGGTAACTCACACATGCAAAACACAAGGTCTTGAGGCCCCCGCATGCAGCAGCAGCAGCAGCAGCGGCTGCTGCTGCTGCGGCAGCAGCAGGGGCTCCCGCGTAGTTAGCCGCGGCCTTCGTGTATTAACTTCTTTCTGTTTTGTGCTGCAGCATAGTCGCTGCAGTTCTTGTCTTGCTGCTGCTCAGTGAGATCCACAGCAGCAGCAGCAGCAGCAGCAGCAGCAGCAGCAGCAGCAGCCTGCTGAGAGGCCTCATTCAGCCCTCTCTTCAGGGGTTCACTGCGGAAGAGAGACTGTTAGGCAAACAGCTGCAGCAGCAGCAGCAACAGCACCAGCAGCAGCAACAGCATCTTGAAGGGTGAAAGAAGTAGAGCTCCGGCAGCAGTCGCCGCCGCTGCCGGAGCAGCCGCAGCACAGCAGCAGCACACCAGCAGCAGCAGCAGCAGCACAGCAGCAGCTGCACAGCAGTAGCGCCACAGCAGCAGCATCACAGCAGCAGCAGCACAGCAGCAGCAGTACAGCAGCAGCAGCAGCAGAAAATGGCGCTGTTCGCTCGCCGCGGGGTCGTGCGGCAGGCCCGTAAGGTCAAGACAGAGAGCAGCGACGAGGAGCAGCAAGAGCAGCAGCAGCAGCAGCAGCAGTATCCGCGCGCAGCGACGTTGAAGGCTGCTGCTGCTGCTGCTGCAGGACTGCCCCCTCCGCCGGTAGTGGCAGCAGCAGCAGCAGTGGGGCCCGCAGTAGTAGCAGACAGCCTGCTGCACAGCGCAGCAGTGACCGCAGCAAAATCGCATGCAGCAGCAGCAGCTGCTGCTGCTGCAGTGCCCCCCGAGCTGCAGCTGCTTGACGAGTCCTTTCAGTGCGCGCTTAGAGATCTGGAAGATGATGAGGCGCCGAAGCAGCAGCTGCTGCGGCAGCAGCAGCAGCACGTGGAGCAGCAGCAGCAGCAGCGGGGCCTGCAGCCCAAGAAGAAGCTGCTTGCAGCAGGGGCCTGCGCCGTCGGCAGCAGCAGAGTCTTCGCCCAGCAGCAGCAGCAGCAGCAGCTGCTGCAGCAGCAACAAGCAGCAGCAGCAGCAGCAACCAGGGCGCAGCGCCTGAGCTTCGGCTTTGCCGACGAAGACAACGTGCCCTCGGTGCGCCAAACCCAAAACCCTAAACCCTAACCAAGCCCAAAACCCTAAACCCTAAACCCTAACCAAACCCTAAACCCTAGACCCTTGAAAATGTAGAATTAGAACAAAGCCTTCTGTTTAAAGTTTCAAGATCTTTTGCCCCGTGTGTGCAGCAGCAGCAGCAACGAGGAGCAGCAGCAGCAGTGCGGGAGTCTCTTGAGGAGCTGCTGCCCAGCAGCAAATCTCCTCGGCAAAACAGAAGCAAGCACAGCAGCAGCAGCAGCAGCAGCAGCAGCAAAGACGCAGGCAGTCGGCGCAGCGGCAGCCGTGACTCGGACGTGCGGTCGCGGGCCAGCAGCAGCAGCAAAGACAGCAGCAGCAGCAGCAGCAGCAGCAGCAGGGGCTCTGGCGATAAGCCAGTTCTTGTAGTAAACCCCACAGGCAGCGTTGGGATTGTTTTGAAGGCAACTCACGCCAGCACTAGCAGCAGCAAAGGGAGCAGCAGCAGCAGCAAGCGCAGCAGCAGCAGCAAAGACAGCAGCAGCAGGCGCCACGAGTTCGCGTAAGGCTAAGGCACGGTTTTCTTTCTGCTGCTGTTGCTGCTACTCTCCACATTCACGCTGTTGCTGCTGCGCTTTCTGCTGCTGCTGCTGCTGCTGCTTGTGCTGCTGCTGCGGAAAGTGTCAGCCAGGGTGCTTTTTTGCTGCAGACCGCGAAACAGCAGCAGCAAAGACAGCAGCAGCAGCAGAGACAGCAGCAGCAGCAGCAGCAGCAGTCATTCTGCGCAGAGAGGGTCTGACGCTGCTGCCAGGCCTGGCAGCGGGTCGCCTGCAACTGCAGCAGCAACGGGAGCAGCAGCAGCAGCTGCTGCTGCAGCGGGAGGCGGCGCAGCAGCAGCAGAGCCGCGAATCTTCTCCTTGGCAGAACTGGAAGACAGAAGATCAGCAGCAGCAGCAGCAGCAGACGAAGCTGGGGAGTTGCCGTTTGCTGCTCTGGCTCAAGTGGCCCGCAGGTCGCGGCAGCAAGCCCGAGCAGCAGACATGAACAGCAGCAGCAGCAGCAGCAGCAAAGCAGCAGTGCCCTCTGTGTCCTGCTTCGGGGAGTACACCGAAGAAGACGAAGCTGCTGCAGCAGGAAGCAGCAGCACCAGCAGCAGAAGCTGGCTAGCCAGAGAAGCCATGCTGCAGCTGCGGGGGGTCCCGCTGCTGCAGCAGCTTTCTGAAGAGTCTGAAGAGCAGGCAGCACTTGAGGCCTGGGAGCGAGAGCAGATCATGAAAGGTGCTGCTGCTGGTGCTGCTGCGCTGCTGCTGCTGCTGCTGTGCTTGGCGCTGCTACTGTCTTGGTTGGACCTGCCGCTGCTGCTGCTTCTGCTGCTGTATTTGGTGCAGCTGCTGCGCTGCTGCTGCTGCTGTGCTCGAGGATGCTGCTACTGTTACGCTGATGCTGCTGCTGCTTTGGTCGCTGCTGTTGCTGCTGCGCCTGGGGCTGCAGCTGCTGCTATGTTTGACGCGGCTGTGGTTGCTGCTGCTGTTCTGGGGCTAACCTGCATGTTGCTGCTGTTGCTGCTGCCGCAGTTGCTGTTGCTGCTGTTGCAGCTCATTGAGGTAATGGCTGCTGCTGCGGGCAGCCGAAGAGCTGTCAGTAAAGGCTGTGCTGCCGCTGCAGCTGCTGTTGCTGCTGCTGGTGTTGCTGCATGCAGGGGCTGGAAGGAAGCAGCTGCTGTTGCAGCAAGAGAAGCTTGAAAGACGGCAGCGGCAGCAGCTGGAGGAGCAGCAGCAGCAGCAGCAGCAGCAGATCCTGAGCTCGTTCAGCGGCATCATTGGACAGCAGGACGCCCTTGCTGCTGATGCTGCTGCTACAGACGAAGGCGCATGCAGCAGCAGCAGCAGCAGCCTCGTGCGGCCTGCAGCAGAGCCTAAGAGGGCGGCGGGAGCAGAGAGTGCAGCAAATTGTTTTGCGCAACTGTGGGCCAGCAGCAGCAGCAGCAGCAGCGGCGTCGGCAGCAGCAACGCGGAGCAGCAGGCTGCAGCAGCAGTTGCGTGGATTGAAGAGCAGGCAGAGCAGCAGGAAGACGAGCAGCAGCAGCAGCAGCAGCAGAAGCAGCAGAAGATAAAGTGGAAAAAGGAAGCAGCAACAAAAGTGACCTCACTTGAGCTGAAGCAGCTAAGTAAGCCGGACATTGTTGACTGTGTACTACGGGGTTTAGGGTTTAGGCTCTAGGGTTTAGCGTTCAGGGTTTCTCGTCAAGGGTTTAGGGTTTAGGGTTTGCGGGGTTGGCTGATACTTAATGGTTCCGTGTATAGGTATTCGGGGTAAAGGTTCAGGATTCAGGATATGTGCATTTGAATGTAGGGTTTAGGGTTTAGGGTTTAGGGTTTGGGGTTTAGGGTTTAGGGTTTAGGGTTTAGGGTTTAGGGTTTGTGGCGCTGTGGCACTATGAGCAGAAACGGAGCGGCGGCTGCAGAAGCTGCAGGAGTTCCTGGTGTTTGTTGAGGACCTCAGCGGCTGCATCCGTAAACCCTAAACCCTAAACCCTAAACCCTTGAACACGTCGTTGAGTGTGCCAGTTGGTGCTGATGGCCTTTGCTTGGCTGTCCGTTGCGAAGGGTTTAGGGTTTAGGGTTTGGCGGGCAGGGGCTAGTGACTAGGGTTCGAGTATGGGTCAGGGTTCAGGGTTTAGGGTTTAGGGTTTAGGGTTTGCGCAGATGAGAAGAAGCCCGCCGTGAAAATGGCAGTGGAGGCTTTGCAGGAGCTCGAGAGTGGAGAAGCAGACAGGACGTAAACCCTAAACCCTAATCTTAGCCCTAATATAAACCCTAATCAAACCCTAGCTCAAACCCTTTCAGTTTATCTCAAACCCTAGCTCAGCTCTAGACGTGCCTCTTAAACCCTAAATTAGCGTATAAGGGCTTACGGCCCGGTTGGCTTTTGCGTGGCGCCGTCACAACTGCTGCTGGATTTTCCCCTCTTGCTGGCTAGGGGCTAGGGTTTAGGGTTTAGGGTTTAGGGTTTTTGTGCAGGACCCAGCGCCGCTTGGGAGACTTGGGCCGTTTGCTGCCAGAGCGCATTGATGAATTCGGCAGGAGTTTGGCTCTCCAGAAGCGGAGAAAGAGGTGGGAAAAGGGTTTAGGGTTTAGGGTTTAGGGTTTAGGGTTTAGGGTTCAGGGTTTAGGGTTGTGGGTGCAGGGGCGCAGCAAGAAGCAGTTGGTGCTGTGAAGGGGCTGCGTTTGTATCAAAGAGGCCTGGATTTAGGGTTTAGGGTTTAGGGTTTAGGGTTTAGGGCTTGGATCGTGCTGCTGCATTCTGCGCAGGTACGGGCCGAAGCTGCGGCAGCAGCAGCAGCAGCAGCCGCTGGGAGAAGTGCTGCGGCAGCTGCGGAAGGCCCCACACCCAGCGTCGCCTGAGGCCGTAGAGGCTTTCAGAGCAGCACGCGCAGCAGCAGCAGCAGCAGCAGCAGCAGGAACAGCAACAGCAGCCGCAGCAGCGGAGGAGCTCGAGCCTGCAGCACTGGGGCGCTGCGAGTGCTGGGGGGAAGTTTTGGGCTCTTGTGTCTTCACAAGCGACGAAGAAGGCCCCAGCGGCAGCAGCAGCAGCAGCAACGGCAGCAGCAGCAGCAGCAGCAGCAGCTCAAGAAGACACAAAACCAAAAGGCAGTTCCTGCAGGCTGTTGCTGAAATATTTGCTGACGTGAGGCCGGAGTACAGAGAGGTGAGGAGCTGCTGCAGCATTTCTTTTTTCTTTTCTTTTTTATTTATTTTTATTTATTTTTTTCTTTTTTCTTTTATTGTTTTTTATTCCTTGTCTCTCTTCTCTCTATTGCGTCTTCTCGTGGTCCTGCTGCTGTTTCTCTTTTCCCTGGCTGCTGCTGCTGCAAGGCTGCAAGGCTGCACACTGCTGCTGCTGCTGCTGATGTATGCAAGCACTCGCCACCAAGTGTCCATACGCCATGTGTGGCCTCTCCCAAAGCTTCTGCGCTGCTGCTGCTGCTGCTGCTGCTGCAGGTGCGTCGCATAGTGGGGGAGTTTGCTGCAGCGTGCCGAAACTGCCCCGAAGATATGGTGGCGCTGCAGCAGCAACTGCCGCTGGCTGAGCAGCTGCAGCAAAGTGTAGAGACTGTTGCTTCTTGGGAGCTGCTGTGGTGGCTGCCGCTGGACACAACATTGGCTCCGTCTACTGCTGCTGCTGCTGCTGCTGCGATTGAGTGGGTCAAGCAGCAGCAGGTGCTGCAGCAGGAGCAGGAAGAGGGGCAGCAGCAGGAAGAGGCGGGCGACAGCAACAACAGCAGCGCAGCCGGCGACGCCGAAAAGCCTTCCACGGGAGATGCTGGCGCATCAGCTGCAAGCCGCTCTGCTGCTGCTGCTGCAGCAGCAGCAGCAGCAGAAGCAGCAGCAGCAGCAGGGGCCCTCGACAGCGGCACGGGGCCCCTCCGAGACGGCAGCGTCGTCAGCGGACGAATTTTGCGGGGGGGAAGAGAAGTGGCAGATTTTGATTTCATAAGAGACATTTTTGCTTTTTGTCAAGAAATGGAGACCCTCAGCAGCAGCAGCAGCAGCAGCAGCAGCGGCAGCAGCAGCGGCAGTGGCAGCAGCAGCGGCAGCATCAGCGAGGTTGCAGCGGCTTTCGCGGACCTGCTGCTGCAGGTGGTGAAGGACGTTGTGCTGCCCAGGGCGCTGCACTCGCTGCAGCAAATGGACTGCTGCAGCTTCACTTCTGCTGCTGCTGCTGCTGAGCTCCTGCAGGAAATGCTGCTGTTCAGGGGCCCCCCAACAGAGGCAGCCATTACGAAGCTGCTGCAGCTCTTTGTCTCTTCTTTCCTCAGCACTATTGAGAGCCAGCTGCCTGTGCAGTGCGTGAAGCGTGCGCAGCAGCTGCAGCAGCAGCGACAGCAGCAGCAGCAGCAGCAGCCAGCGAAGGCAGAGGGAGAGCAGCAGCAGCAGGAGGCCGATGCTGCTGCTGTTGAGGTGTACGTACACCGCGCGCTCAAGGCTGTTGGAGTTGCTTCCTTTTTTGAAGGCATTCTCAGCGAGCAGCTTATGCTGCACATAGTCATGCATGTCAGTGCTGCTGCTGCTTCTGCTGCTGCTGCTCCTGCTGTCGCTGCCGCTGTTGCTGCTGGTAGGACTGCACTGCTGCTTCGAGTTACCGGGAAATCAGGTCTCTGGCTGCTGTGTTGTGTACTGCGATTTGCTGCGGCACCTTCAACCGCTTATGCTGCTGCTGCTGTTGCTGCTGCTGCTGTTGCTGCTGCTTTTGCTGCAGCACCTCTTCGAGCTGCGCGTCCAGCCCTTGCTGCCGCTGCTGCCGCGTCGGACAGGTTTGCTGGTGCTTCACGGGTTTGTGCGTTTGCTGCCTCTCAAGTGGCTGATGGTGCTGCAGCAGCATCAGGAGCAGCAGCAGCAACAGCCACAGCAGCAGCAGCAGCAGCAGCAGCAAAAGAATGGACTATCTCTGCTGCTCAGCAGTTGCCTCACCTTGGGAGAGGATCTAACAGAGGAGGCAGACAGAGCAGAGATGCTGCTGCTGCTGCAACGCATCAGCAGCAGCAGCAGCCGCCAGCTGCTGCTGCTGCTGCTGCTGCTGCTGCTGCTGCTGCTGCTGCTGCTGCTGTTGCTGCTGCTGCAGGGCGGGCCAAGAGTCCTTTCGTTCGATCACCCGCTCTTACTACAGAGGCGCAGCAGGGGCGCTGCTGGTCTACGACATATCCCGGTGAGCCCCCGCAGCAGCAGCAGCAGCAGCAGCAGCGGCAGCAGCAGCAGCAGCAGCAGCTGTGTGGTGGTTGCTGCTGCTGCTGCTGCAGGCGAGACACCTTCGCACACTTGACCCGCTGGCTGGAAGAAGTTCGGCAAAACTCAAACCCTCATATGACAATTATTTTAGTTGGAAACAAATGCGACTTGGAACGGAGAGAAGTCACCTTCCAGGAAGGTGAACTGCTGCTGCTGCTGCTGCTGCTGCTGCTGCTGCTGCTGCTGCTGCTGTGTAGAGATGGTCCGAGGCTGTTGCTGCTACTGGGAGTGGGTGTTGGTGGGACAGCTGCTGCTGTTGCTGCTGCTGCTGCTGTTGGGGATAAAGGGGGCTGCAGCAGCAGCAGCTGCTGCTGCTGCTGCTGCCACATTTCACGCTGCATCCGGCAGACTAAGGCTGCGGCGCCTCGAGGGAAGCCTTCTTGTGGAGAGCCCACGGCTTAGGGTTTAGGGTTTAGGGTTTAGGGTTTAGGGTTTAGGGTTTAGGGTTTGGGCGTTGACAGGCCAAGACTTCGCTCGCCAGCACAATTTGATTTTTCTGGAGACGTCTGCCAAGACTGCTCAAAACGTAGAGGAGGTGAGGGTTTAGGGTTTAGGGTTTAGGGTTTAGGGTTTACAGCAGCAGCAGGAGGGAGTTTGCACAGCTCCTCTTGAAGCCGTTCGCAGGGCGCAAGCAGAGTCTAGAGCTGCTGTTTCTTATTCGCTGCTGTTGCTGCTGCTGCTGCTGCTGCTGCTTTTTTTCCCCGCTGCGGCTTATTTGCAACTCTAGTGCAGTTGATGTTTGCTGTTTGCTGCTGCTGCTCCTCTGTTCATTTGCTACTGCGGCTGCTGCTGCTTCTACTGCCATTTGGCGGATGCTGCTGCCGTTGCTGCTGCTGCGGGGTTGCTGCTGCTGCACCTCCTGCTGCTGCGTGTTTGCTGCTGCTGCTGCGGGTCTGCTGCTGCTGCTGCTGCTGCTGCTGCTGGCCTGCAGGCCTTCATTCTGACGGCGCGGAAGATTTACGAAAATGTTCTTGCTGGGGTTTATGATCTTTCCACTGACACCCACGGCATCAAGTGCGGCCCAGTAGCAGCAACTCACACCACTCGAATTGGTAAGCTGCTGCTGCTGCTGCTGCTGCTGCTGCTGCTGCTGGTGCTGGTGCTGGTGCTGCTGCTGCTGCTGCTGCTGCTGCTGCTGCTGGTGCTGAGGCTGCGGGTGCTGCTGCTGCGGGTGCTGCTGCTGCTGCGGCTGGGGCTGCTAGTGGCGATGGAGATGTGGGTAAGGGGGTGAGTGCTGCTGCTGTAGTGCTCTGTGGGGTGGAGGGTCACTTTTGCTGCTGCCGTTTGTTGCTGCTGCAGCCGCTGCAGCCGGTGTTGCTGCTGTTGCTGCTGCTGACATGCGGCTGGTGTCTGCTGCTGCTGCTGCTGATGTTACGTTTTCTGTACGTGCTGCTGTTGCTGCTGCTGCTGCGCCCACCAGACTCGGGCAGGCAGGAGCACCGGGCGGCTGGCTGCTGCACTTGAGGCCCTTTTGCAGCAGCAGCAGCAGAAGGAAAGGAAAAGCAGCAGCAGAATCAACAGCAGCAGCAGAGCCATCGGCAGCAGCAGCGGCTATCCTTCTTATATTCTGGCGGAAATACTGGATTGGCATGCTTCTTGCTTGAGTACACACGCGAGCAGCAGCAGCAGCAGCAGCAGCTCCTGCTCTGCTGCTGCTATTGCTGCTGCTGCAGCTGCTGCTTTAGCTGCTTCAAATGATGATTCTTGCTGCAGCGGCTGCCGCCTGTGAGCAGCAGCAGCGGCAGTTCTGCTGCTGCCGTCACAACTGTAACACTGTAGTTTGCTGCAGACGTCCCTTGAGATGCTGTAGCAGCAGCAGCAGCAGCAGCAAGAGCAGCAAAACGTGTATTAATGAATTATTTCTTGACGTGGCAGCCAACAGTTGCTGCTGCATGTCAGCTGAAGAGACACAAAATTAGTTGTCTCTGTAGAGCTGGCTATCCAGCCTGCTGCTGCTGCTCTTCGCAGCAGCAGCATCTACAGGAGCAGCAGCAACAGCAATAGCAGCAGCAGCTGCTGCTGCAGCGACGCTTGGTGCGGCAGCAGGAGCCGCAGCAACTATGTGAGAGCAGCAGCGGCGTAATATGGAGCAGCAGCAGTTCGTGCTATCGCTGCAGCTGCAGCAGCAGCAGCGGCGGCGAGAGTTGCAGCAGCAGAGGCAGTTGCTGCAGCAGCAGCTCCAGCAGCCGCTGCTTCAGTTGCCCTGTGTACGGAGGAGACACAGGGTTTGGTTTTTGGTGGTGGTTGCTTCTCTCTCTGAAACCCCAAAACCCTAAACCCTAAACCCTTGTTGAGTCTAAACGCTAAACCCTAATTACGCGGATTAGGGTTTTAGCGGCCTCGGGGAACGGCGATCTGGAGCTCGCGAGGGTTTAGGGTTTGGGGTTTAGGGTTTAGTGTTTAGGGCTTGGGGCCCAGAGTCTAGATCTTCGGGCTTAGGGCTCATTTCTTAGGGTTTAGGGTTTAGGGTTTAGGGATTTTCGTTCAGCCATGAACAGAGCAAGGGACACGTGTAGTGGTTTAGGGTTTAGGGTTTAACGTTTAGCGTGCCCAGTTTCAAACAACTTGGAATTAGGAAGGCATAAGGGTTTAGGGTTTAGGGTTTAGGGTTAGGGTTTAGGGTTTACGGTTGGGGTTTAGTTCCCTTGGTGGGGCCCCTGAGGCCCCTGTGGGGCCCCTGAGGGGCCCCAGAGGGCCCCGTAGCAGCTGCCAGTTTTCATTGCCAAGTTTAGTCCTACATAAATGCGCATATAGGGTTTAGGGTTTGTTATTTGCAGTATGAAATTTAGGGTTTAGGGTTTAGTGTTTAGGGTTTAGGGTTTTTGTGCCTCTGGACCCCGGGGGGCCCCCAACGCGTTTCGGTCTTCTTGGGGGCCCCTGCCT